CAAGCGCTTTCTGTTGCTCACTCTGGAGCTCAGCAAGTTCTTCCGTGGTCAGCTCCTCCTCATGGTCCTCAACAAGCTCCTCTATGTCTGCACCATCGACATCCAGACCCATACTCTTGCACATGGACACAATTTCCTCCACTACCTCTGCATCAGACCCTTCAAAGTCACGTTTAGTGACACATTCTGGCCACAGTTTCCTCCAGGCTGAGTTTAAGGTCCGGTACGTGACATATTCCCAGGCTTTATCAATGAGGTTGATGCAGTGGAGGACATTGAAATGTTTCTTCCAGAATTGTTTCAGAGTCAAGGACGTCTCTTCAGTGACATTAAAATACCTGGTGAAGAGTGCCTTTGTGTACAGCTTCTTGAAGTTGCAGATCACTTGCTGGTCCATGGGCTGAAGGAGAGGTGTCGTGTTGGGGGGGAGGAACTTGACCTTTATGAAGTCATACTCAGCGTCCATATCATCCACCAAGGCTGGAGGGGGTGCCGGGGCATTGTCCATCAGAAGGCACCTTTCAGGAAGTTGGTTGTCAAAAAGATATTTTTTAACAGTGGGTGTGAACACCTTGTGCAGCCATTCCATGAACAATTGCCTTGTGACCCAAGCTTTCGCATTGGCCCTCCACATGACAGGCAGTCTGGCCTTGTTCACATTGTGTTCCTTGAATGCATGAGGGGTCTGGGAGTGGTATACCAGTAGTGGCTTAATCTTCAGCTTGCCGCTTGCATTCGCACACAGCAAAAGGATCAATCTGTCCTTCATGGGCTTGTGGCCTGGCAGTGCCTTTTCCTCCTGCATGATATAGGTTCTGTTTGGCATCTTCTTCCAGAAGAGCCCTGTTTCATCGCAGTTGAATAGTTGTTGAGCGACGTATCCTTCCGCCTTCATGAATTCCGCGAATTCTTTTTTGTAGGCTTCTGCAGCGGCCTTGTCAGAACTGGAAGCCTCACCATGTCTTGTCACACTGTGGATGCCACTTCTCTTGCAAAATTTATAAAACCAGCCTCTACTGGCTTTAAATCCTTCACTTGTTGCGCTTTTGGAGGTTTTTTTTTTTTTTTTGCAGTAAATCACTGTGCAGTTTCCTGGCTTTTTCACAGATCATAGCTT